AAGTGATTATCCCCAAGGCTTGCAGTATCCCTCAAAAGTATCCTAGGGGAGGGCAGGTTTATCTCAGGGGCCAAGACCCAGGGCTATCACAGTTCCCCATTCTAATGAGGAGTCTCCCTGTATTGACATCCTTGGCAATGAGGATTTAGACTTCATTTGGTTGAAATGGTCAACCAGTGAATTTCCTTTTAACAGAAAATGTCAAATTTACATGAGAGATAACTATATTCCAACAGGGTAACCAGCACAGGGCTTTGTGAAGTGTGGGCCAGATCAGGCAGAAGCAGCGGGGACACGGATATCATCTATACATGGGCGCAACATGTGAAGGTTATGTCATGGGAGATGCAGAGTATAATGGAAATAGTGAATTAGAATCCTATAAAAATGAGCATCTCCTGAAAAAAATGACATAAAGAGAGACACAGGGTGAATGAAAAATAACAGGAAGACAGAGTTGCCCATCTGACTTGGAAGAACCCAGAAGTCCAGGTGACTGAAATGGAATAGCACATGAACCTGACCGGAGCCCAGAAAGATTCACAGGATCACCATAAGCACTCAGGTTACCCAAAAGGTAGGTCCACATTGGACCTTTCTGGAAGGGCTCCACGTGTGCTAAGGTTTCTGGGATACAAGCTCCCTTCTCCCACCCATGTTATGATCATTGGTACCCCACCAATGCATGCAGGCCCTCACATATTAATATCCTGTTAGATAAGAAACCAACACGAATTGAAGTATTTATGCAGTTTATATTCACTCTTATTTCTCCGTCTTGGGAAAGTTAATCCTTCCAGTTTAACATGGGGTTGAGCACGCCCTCACTGCCTTCTGCTCAGCATCATAAAACAGCTATGTTCTGTGTAGTCGTCTACAGCTTCCCCCACTGAACTTTCTCCAGCTGGATACCCATCGTCTCCCCAGTGCTGCCTAACAAACCAGTTCAAAGAGGTCCTGTCCCCCTGCCAGAAGCAAGGAAGCCCTTGGGGGTTGGGAGGAGCGGAAGCCAGGAGACAGACCAGGCCAGGCCACTTCTTACCAGTCCGCAGAAGAGGAGTGAGGAGGGGCTAGGTTTCTGGGGCCCATCTACACCAGTTTCTTGGCTTTAAAGAAGCTCTTGAGGTGTTGCATCTGCCAAATGCCAGTAGCCACGAGGATGAAGGTCTGCAGGATGGACCACCACAGCACCCTCTGGTTGGTACTCTCACTGGTCTGCCGGAAGCGCTCCTCTTGCCACTGGGAGGGGAGAATGGAGAAGGCACTTGGCTAGAACTCATTCACCCGCAAGGGGAGCAGCTGGAAAAGCCACTCCCTGGGAGTTTACACATCCCCTGTCCCAACTGGGCCAGCACGACCCCTCACCCGCTGGTACTCCTGCTCCTTCTGGATTTGCACCACCTGTTCCACCAGCTGCTGCACACGAAGATGCAGCAGGGTCAGTTTGTCCTTGGCTGCAAATTCCGCATAGTCAGTGGTGTGTTCACCCAACTGCATGTCCAAGTGAATGGCCTGGGAACGGGAGTCAAGGGTAGGGGTCAGGCAGCTCAGTGTCATGCACCTGCCAGGAGCCCAGTTTCCACATGCCAGCTGGGTCTGATACTGGCAGTTCCATTTCCATTCCCCACACTCATTGACTTCGGGACCAGCCTGCTGTGCATGGAGACACATAAAAGAAGGGATGGGACAGCCTGTGCACACAAACAGGTATGACCCAGTGTTTGAGACAGACAGTTCCTAGAAGTTGTGTTGGGAGGTGGCAGTGGAGAGCTTGGGAGCACTCAGATGCTGAACAGTTACAAATTTCACATCATGATGCTTGGTCTTTATCCCAGGGGATGGCAGGGAGCCAAAGGAGGATTTAAAGTCACAGTCGCTTCCCCTCAGTGTCCCCTCGTCATCCTCAGGAGCTGTTCTCTGTATGCTGCATGCCTGCTTCATGTAAAGCCCTAGCCCTTCGTAACAGGCGCACCTACTGCACCCTTCCCACTGGGTGAGAAGTACCCTCACAGGGACTGAGACATTGAACCACCAGGGAGACTGGACCTTGCACTTGCCACACTCACCAGCTTGCCATCATAGAAGAGGGCGAACCGGATAGACTCCAGGTGAAGGCAGATCTGGTGCTCTCCAGGAGACTGGGAGGTGAAGGTGAAGCTGCCCTGAGGGCCATACTGACGGGCCAGGAGGTTCTAGAGAAAGCAGCTTCCAGTGAGCACAGAGAAGCTAAGCTGGCTGCTTACCTGAGAGGAACTCAGGGGCATCCCAGGTTGAGACCCTCACGAGCCATGACAAAGGGGAGGGTGTGACGGGAATGGCATCGGTTTAGGCCGGAAAGTCAGATCCCAGAATTGCCAATACACAGTTCTCTACAATTTGCAGAGCTTTACTGCCTGTGAAGAGGCTGGCCCTCCCGTAAGAAATGGAGGACCAGCTAGGGAGGACTACGCATTAATGCTGGAGGCCTGCAGAGCGGCAGAAGGTCAAGGTTTCCTCACCTTGTTCTCGGGGTCCTTCACAAACACGAACAAATTGATCCACTGCGGAGAGGGCTGGTACTTTTCCATAGCAGGGTCGTATAGCTCGGTCTTGTAGTTACCTAATGGAGAGGCAGCCAGAACGTGTCCACATCTACACCTACGACTAAGGGCCCACACGGGACCTCGCAGAGATGCTGCAGTCGGGGTAGGAACAAGGACATCCCGGCATCACACCGAGGGACCTGGCCACAACCTTCCTCCCCTCCCAGCTCCTCCTTCCACCATCCGGGTCTTGGCCAGACTTGCCTCCTGGGGCCCGCACCCGCAGGGGAAGGGAGGCTTTGGTCAGGCCTCTATCCACCCATTTCCCCGGTGCCCACCCCGGGCAGGGGAGGGTAGGTGCGGGCCTGAGCTGAGTCCGTGCAGCGCCATCCCCCTTCCGCTCTCGGGAGGGCAGGGCCCGCACTGGCCGCGCGCGCGCACCTATGACCACGGTGCCATCGGGGATCTCCTGGATGAAGCACTTCTCCTCCAGCTCACGGACCTCGAGGTAGAACGCGCCCCCTCGGCCCAGCAGCGCCAGCAGCAGGGACAGGGCCAGTCCGGGGCCCGCGCTCCGCCGCATCCCCGCCCGGGCCCGCGTCGGGCCCAGCGCCTGGCGCCCCGCAGGGACCCCGCCACCTTCCCAGGCGAGCTGCCGGCCTCTGCGCGGGGCCTGCGGACGCTGCGGAGTCGCGCACGGCCTGCAGCTCCCGGGAGGCCCCGCGCGGCCCCGCCCCGCCGCGCCCCCGGGGTCCGCCGGTGCCGCGGACCCGAGCGCCTCCTCCGAGGTGTGGGGCTGCTAGCCCGTCTTGCTGGTGGAGCGGCTGAGCCGCAGCCAGTGGGGCAAGGGGCTTGACCTCTGCAGCTTTCAGGGAAGGGACAGATTTACCCAAGCCCTCAAAGATGGTTAAAATCTCCCTCTGGGCGGCAAAACAATTTCAGGAGGAGACCTCGGCTTGCCTAACAGCCAGTAAGCCAGTTGAGGGACTAGGGGAACAGTTATGGGAACGTGGAGGCAAGAGGTAATTGGGCTGAATCACTGAGGGCCCAGGAGGTGCCAGGCCAGTAGCAGAGGGAGCTGGGGGGTGAGGGGGGTTCATCCAGTGTCCTTCCCTGTGCACTAGGGACGAAAAAGAGGAGGTTGTGAGTGTGCCCGGAGGGCACAAGAAGGTGGCAGCAATGCAATTGGAAAAGGAAAGGGAGCTGAGAGAATGGGGCCAACACGACAGGATGGGGGCCCAGGAAAAGCAAGTCTCAAGAATTCCAAGCCCAGAGTGCCTTGGGTAGAGCAGTGTAGACCCGAACATGTCACTATGAAGCTATCGCCCAGTCCAGGCGTTGGGATGAAGTCCTCCACCTCTAGTGCCTGGTGATAATAGATATTCATTGGTTATTCAGAAATGATGAAGGTGGTGGTATCTTTCATTCTACTGTGCCAAGCACTGTTCTAATAGGAGTGCATTAACTGAGAGAATCTTTTAAACTTCTGTGAGTGACTCTATGTTATTCCAGTTTAATAGCTGTGACAATAGCAAACAGAAGTTGATAATAACTTGCTCCGAGTCACCCAGCTACTAAGCGGTTGGTGTTTGTGTGCACAGACACTCTGGGTCATGCCTTATGGTACATGTTGGACACAAAAATGAATGACATCTGTCTCTTACCCTCTCAGAGCCCACTCAAAACCAAAGGAGCAATGTCAGTACGGTGTTCTCAGATTAATAATATGTATTAGCTACCAGGAATTGTGCCCTCCTTTTAACGGTGTGACCCCTTGGCAATTCTGGGGAACCATTTTATTCCTTCATTGGGAATGATGTTTTAAAAAATGACAGATGCAGGTTTTTCACAAAAGGCAAAAGCTTTAGAAAGGTCAATTAGCCAAGGGTTGAAAAGTATCTTTGGCTTTGGGAACTAGCTGTTCACCAGGAGCTTGGACAGAGCTGTGTAGAGGCAGAAGTGAGGACGGCTCAGACGCAGGGATCCAGCCGTGTGTGCTGTCCAGGGTCCTGAATCTGGTAGCATTTTAGACTACTGTAAAGCACTGGTTTTACTTTGGCTTTTCATAAAATTTACAGTCCCTCGGGAAACAACACTTGTTTACTGTTGTAAAATAAAACAAAAAATTAAACTGATCATGTGCTTGGTGAGTGTTCTCAGAGGTTCAACTGTGTCTCCAGTCCATCCCTGTTTGGTGGGGGGCAATGTGTCTCACAGGCCTGTGCCTGACTGAACCTTATAATTGAAGTCTTGGTCCTCCTCCCCTCCTGCACTATGTGAGTTGCCGTAGTTTATATATAATGGTATATGTAAATATATATATAAATGTATTAAAATGGTAAAAACATCTGTAGGAATTCACCAAGATGTTGATCACGGTTATCTCTATGTGGTAGTACTATCATGTCTTAAATCTTCATATTTGTATCTCAATTTTCTACAATAAATATGTCTTATTTGTCCATTTAAATAAGATGAATGAGTTTTAGAAAAACGGAAGGTGCACTCTCCGGAGAGTCCTTTACTATCCAGGAATTGGCTAATCCTGAAAGGGGCAATACCTCCTGGTCATTGAGGCCCCAGATGCCAGAGCTTCAAGAACACAGGAAATATGAAAATATAGTTAATACACCCCCCCATCCAGAGTCTGCACCAATGGTGCGGGATCTATAGCAGCATCCTCTTCCCACCTATACTGAGGTTTTACAAGTCAAGTGAGTAAGACAGATAGGAGGGGTGAGGAGCAAAGTGTGTCTGAGCCCCACCTTCTCTTGGAGTCGGGTGGAGCAGGTCAGGGCCCAGGTAAGGCAGTCCTAGCTAAGAATAAAGTAAGACATTGGGCTTCTATGGCTGTAGCTAATAATGTCAGTCAGTGTTGATGAAAGTTGGAGAAATTACTTTATTATTAAATTAGTTGACTGTTATATTATTTGATTATTATATTATTATACCATGATACTGTTGTGCTCATTCTGGCAAAGCTCCAGCCATTATTCAGGCTTTGAAGAACAGCCTTGAACAACTCAATAGGTTCTGGTATCCATCCCTCCTCATTCCCATCCCCAAAATAGAATCCAGCATTCTGGACTGGCCCTACATTAGTTGGTTGGGTGACCTTGGACATGTCATTTCTCTTCTGTGCTCCTCAGGTCTTCCTGCCCCCAGGGCTACTCCAGGTGAGGGCTCAGCTCCCGCATCCTTGTCTCGTTCCTGATTTTAGGGGAAAAGCTTTCAGTCTGTCACCACTGAATATAATGTTTGCTGTGGATTTTTCATATGTGGCTTTTATTTTGTTGAGGTCCTTTCCTCATTTCTAAATATCCCTTTCTAATTTCTTGAGTATTTTTATTGAAAGTGTGTTGACTTTTGTCAAATACTTTTCTGGCATCAACTGAGCTGATCATGTGGGGTTTTTCTCTTCATTCTCTTAATGTAGTGTACTGCATGGATGAATCTTTGTATGTTGAACTATCCTTACATTCCAGGAATAAATCAAACTTGGTCATGGTGTAAAATGTTTTTAATGGGTTGCAGTATTTGTTGAGGATTTTTGCATCAATTTTCATAAAATATATTGGTCTTATTTTTCTTTACTTGTCGTGTGTCTGTCTTTGGTATCATGATAATGCTAAAGCACCCTGAATGAGTGAATTAGGAACACATTAAGAAATTATCCCTCCTCTTCAATTTTTCTGAAGGATTGAGAATGATGGTGTTTGTTATTCTTTAAATGTCTGGTTGTATTCACCAGTAAAACCATCAAATTAAGGATTTTTGTCACTTGGAAGATTTTCTTTATTACTGTTTCAGTCTCCTTACTATTATAGGTTTATTCATGGTTTCTATTTCTTCTTGGTTTAGTCTTGGTAGGTTTGTGTTTCTAGGAATTTATTCACTTCATCTAGGTTACCAAATGTCTTTTTTTATTGAAGTATCATTGATAAATAATCTTCTATTGGTACAACACAGTGATTCAGCAGTTACCAGTATTATTAAACCCACACCCACTCTAGTGCAGTTACTATCCGTCAACATAGGAAGATGTTACAGAATCATCAGCTCTATTCTTCATGCTGTACTACTGCCCTGTGACCAGCTTATATTATGACTGAGAATCTTTGTGCCCCTTTATCCCACTTACTCTCCACCTACACCAGCCCCAACCCTTACCCCTTGATAACCACTAGTCACTTCTCAGTGTCTATGAGTCTACTGCTGTTTTGTTCCTTCTGTTTTGCTTTATTTTTATACTCCACAAATAAGTGAGGTCATTTGGTATTTGTCTTTCTCTGCCTGGCTTATTTCACTGAGCATAATATCCTCTAGATCCATCCACGTTTTTGCAAATGGCAGAATTTCCTTTCTTTTTCTGCCTTAATAACATTCCATTCTGTATATATACCACACCTTCTTTATCCATTCATCTATTGATTAATTAATCACTTAGGTTGATTCCATATCTTGGCCAAATCACAAATAGTGCAATGAACACAGGGGTGCACATGTCTTTTTGAATCAGGGACTTTGTTTTCTTCCAGTAAATTTCTAGAAGTGGAATTACTGGATCAATTCGTATTTCTATTTTTAGTTTTTCGGGGAATCTCCATATTGCTTTCCACAGTGATTGCACCAATTTACATTCCCACCAACAGTGTAGGAGGGTTCCCTTTTCTCCACATCCTTGCCAGCAGTTCTTATTTCTTGTCTTTTGGGTAGTAGCCATCCTAACTGCTGTGAGGTGATATCTCATTGTGGTTTTAATTTGTATTTCCCTGATGATTAGTAATGTGGAGCACTTTTTCATGTGCCTGTTGGCCATTTGTATTTCTTCTTTAAAGAAGTGTCTGTTCAGGCCCTCCACCCACTTTATGATCAGGTTATTTGTTTTTTTGGGTGTTGAAGCTATGAGTTCTTTATATATTTTGGATGTTAACCCCTTATCAGATGAGTCATTTAAGAATATATTCTCCCATATTATAGGATACCTTTTTATTCTGCTGATGGTGTCCTTTGCTGTACAGAAGCTTTTCAGTTTGATGGACTCCCATTTGTTCATTTTTTAATTTTGTTTGCCTTGCTCAAGGAGATGCATTCAGGAAGAAGTTACTCATGCTTATACACAAGAGATTTTTGCCTATGTTTTCTTCTAAGAGTTGTATGGTTTCATGACATACATTCAAATCTTTGATCGATTTTTTGAGTTTACTTTTCTGTATTGAATTAGACAATAATTCAGTTTCATTCTCTTACATGTACTTCATTTTCTTAGATTCTTTCCATCCTTTCCCAGTTTGCCCCACACCAGTTGTTGAAGAGGATGTCTTTTCCCCATTGAATGCTCATGGCTCCCTTATCATGTACTAATTGACCATATATGTGTGGATTTATATCTTGGTCACTCTCTTCTGTTCTATTGATCTATGGGTCTGTTCTTGTGCTAGTACCAAATTGTTTTGGTTACTGTGGCTTTGTAGTAGAGCTTGAAGTCAGGGAGCATAATTCATCCAGCATTGTTCTTCTTTCTCAGGATTGCTTTGTCTATTCGGGGACTTTTATGGTTTCATATGTATTTTAGAACTATTTGCTCTACTTCATTGAAGAATGCTCTTGGTATTTTAATAGGGATTGCTTTGAATCTGTAGATTGCTTTAGACAAGATGGCAATTTTGACAATATTAATTCTTCCTATCCATGAGTATGGGATATATTTCCATTTATTGGTATCTTGTTTAATTTCTCTCATGAGTGTCTTGTAGTTTTCAGGGTATAGGT